TTTCCTAGAGTTTTAGAGTTTATTAGGAGATTCTCTATGGTGTTTCAAAGGACTATGGACTATAATAAAGGTGATCTAGGGTGATCTAGGTTAATGTGATCTTTAGAGGTTTACTAGGCATTTTTGAGGTATTTTTAGAGATTTAAAAATAATAAAAAAAAAGGAAGAAATGGTGAAAAGTAGCCAATTTCAAAATGGGTGTCTACAACATGTGATTGTGCCACTTGTTTTAAATTTAGAATCATGGTTTTCTTTATAAACTTGTAAATTTCTTTCTTGCCATTGCCCAAAATACTATGAAACACGGAACCTTTCTTTATAAACTTGTAAATTTCTTTCTTGCCATTGCCCAAAATACTATGAAACACGGAACCTTTCTATTGACAATACCTTCAAGAACCTTGCTCTTCCTCTCTTTCCAAATCTGCCACAAAGTAGCTTATGCTATTTTCCATAGCATGATCCCAACTTATGGTAAAGAAGTGCACTCTATCGGAATCTTAACTGTCTAATGAGTTGAAGTGGAGGCCAAGAAAAACTACAAGTCCCTATTAACCAGTTGCAAAAGGAAGCTGAAAAGGGCAAGGAAGCATGTAGTCTTCATGTTTCCATATTTTCCTTACCCTTACAAAGGATGCATATATTAGTAACCATCATACTCTTTTTTTAGCAAAGTCAATTGCAGGAAGTACCCTGTTTTTTTATGGCCAACCAAGTAAATGCCTAAGTTTTGTGAACGACTAGGAAGGATGAAGCTTTGTTTGGCTGCAAGAACCAATTTTAATAACCTATCAACTCTAATATGATCATGACAGGACGTAAGTTTAAATTTTTTCGATGAAGACAACTCCTAAACCATGTCATCGATAATAACACAAGGAAGAAGTTTATATAGAGCCGAGGCTCTAAACAATCAAATTGAACCAACTCAAAAATTTCACTGGAAGAGGTTGTTTTGATGCCCAAATATCTTCAAATTGATAATCTCGACATGTGGACATAAGAAAAAAAATGGATTTCAAGTTTTGGAAATAATGCATCTTTCATTGCATTTTTGGACCGTCAATTTCCAATATTGTCAAGTTTTAATAGATTTGCTCGATGTACATTATTTTTAAAGCTTTAAATTTTATAATTAGAGATGACAATATATATATATATATATATATAGATATTAAGGCTATCACAAAGATCTTCAATATTGAAACCACATTTTTTGACACTATTTAAAGGTACCATCTACTTTGATTATTTAAAACCTTGACTCTACACAAACCGCACCCACAATAGAAAGTATGGAGCATGAACATCAATAGGACAAACTCATTCGATGTATTATCTTTCACCCATCTAGTTTTGAGCCGGATATCCAACTCTATATTCCTACCCAATCCAAAAACCACATCTTTCATAGTAGCATTACTCTATAGTCCATTACGTATTCCAAGAACTACTTTGCGTTGGATATCTTTCGAAAAAGATTTCAGAATCGTGATTTCAGCGGGTCATTATTAATCCATTATCCTGACCGGAAAAGGGTTTTGGCTCCAACCTCTACTTTTTAATGCCTTTCCAAAAAGGAGACCACCACTCCTGTTTACGGTCTCTTAATAAAAATTCCATATCTGTCAAGGACATACTGGACTTGCAACATTGTTAGTAAGATCTCATACTCAGGTCACCAACTTCCAAGCCCACCCTATGTCTCTGGAATGCGGACAACTGGTAGATTAGTGAGAGTGACATTTACTAGCATTATTTGGTGAAAAACATCTAGATTTTCGAGTAACGAGTTTTTTTCTCCACCATTAGATTCCAAATAGGCCTCCCCCCTATGGCCTACCCTCCAAACAGTAGTGAAAACTGCAACATAATGTCTCATTGCTCACAGATTCCACTACACTAAGGACAACTTTCTTCGTATAAAATTTTGGGAGTCCTAAAAAATACTCCTGATTAAGTTTTCCCCAATGGCAATGGCCCAAAAGTACATTTCACTCTCACATAATCTTTTAATAACATTAATAATGGTAATGATAGTTATTGGCCTATGTAATCTCAGGTCCACCGTACCATCTTTATGAATAGGCTACGGATAAATGTGAGTGCGCATTGTGGCCTCCGAAGTGGCCACCATAGCTCAACAATTAGGGAGTGCGACAAGATCGTTTGATACCCCACTATTGCAGACGTCCTACACTACTCATCTCTTGGGACATGATAAGCACCTTCATAAAGCCACAAAAGACGCCACTTGGGAATTGGGAAAAACCATAGGAAAGTGAAGACCTTGGGCCTATGCCTTTTGACCTTCAACATACCATTGGAAATGCCATCATAGTCTCATACCATGAGTTTGTAGGACAAATACACTCGTGGAATAGTCCTACAAAACATGATTCTAGGGAAATGAAAAGAAGCATGAAAGGGGCTGGGTCGTAGTGGTAGTACCCTCATACCTAGTTACCACTACGACTGATATTTTCGACTGGCACCTTCAAAACACCTAACTCTCTAATCTATCTGAAAAACGGGTAGGGGTTTGTTTTTTTCACTGAATTGTCAAAAAAAAAGAAAAAGAGAAGGGAAATACTTCTATACTTCCCCTACAACATTAAAAATATATGCTTCTCCTCCCATCCAGCCATCCAATTTAGATCAAGTGAGTCATTTACCCTTTCATCTAGATCCGATACCTCAGAGTATTTTATTTTAATTTGTTTTCTACATATTGTATGAATATGAAATTTGATACGTATCATCTCTTCAATGAGGTGCACCAACAAAAAAATAAAATTTGGATAAAATATAATAACTAAAATACCCTTTAAAACTTTTTGGGGAATTTTAGCCATTTTATTTCATAAAAAATATTTTTTATATTTTTTACTAGTGCAAGTTTAAGAGATGAGTGGACACCCAAAATTTGGTGTCGAAATAAAATTTTAAAAGAATTAAAAATAAAATAATGTAGAAACGTGACATTGTGATTGGAGCTATCTCAATTGTGCATTCAATATGGATTGTTAACAAAGAAAAGTATATGTCTTATGCCGTAGGATAAACATATAAAACTTGCCCAAAAAAGGAAATAGGACAAACATAAGGAGAGAGTACTTGGAACGGGAAAACAAATCGGGTAAGAGATCAATCAAAATTTAAGTCCAAAAATAGAGAGATTATAAGATCTCTTGCTCAATCCACGCCCCCCCTAAAAAAATGGAAAGACAGAGCACATGGACCAAGGGAAAAATCAAAACCACGTTACATGTTTTTGCTATAAGAAGTCGTGCACATGGGTGGTGTATACATTGTGTTGGAGCTATTAATGCCACCCATGTTTTCAAGGGCACGGTGGAAATGGTGAAAGTAGGGGTGATATTTAAAAAATAAAAGCTGATTGCAAATGGGGATTCACTTAATGTCAAACGATTTTATGTTCCCTCGGTCCCTTCTCTCCTTCTTTTAACCCGTTATACCAGCATTTTTTGGATTTTTAATTTGAGGGGACATAATATTTTCAACTTAAGGCGCGCATGATGATAATGATGATGAACATTTTCAACTCAATTAGGAATCACATTTTTAGAAAAAATATAATACATATTCTTATTTTTAAAAATTTCAAGAATTTTTTTAAACTGGGTCAATACCTATTTTATTATTATTATTTTCTCCAAAATATCCGTCCTAATAAAGCCATGATGTCTGTGGCACCCTGATGGGTGATTAGGAAGCACCCTTGGGCATCATGACTCTATTAGAGCTGTGACACACCATCACGGCCCTATTAGTGTCTACTGGAGCCATGATGCAAAGCTCAACCTTGGGCACCAGTCCTATTAGAGGGCATTTCGGGTGAAATAAAAAAGACCCATAAAAAATTGGGTTTAGACACATAAATTTTAAAAATTTTAGTCCTTTTTAATTTTAAAAATAAGGATATTTTTTTATAATTCCTCCAAAAAATATTTAAATACATTGTTAATTCATGAAAAAAAAAGTAATGTCCTAAGACTAACGTAGATTATTCAAAATTTTTAGAACTCAAACTTCAGTATTATTTATAAGATTGTCACATGGTGATTCAAATGTCAAAATTCGTATTGATAAATGTTTTTTCATATAATAAGTTGTAAAAAGAAAAAAACATTCAAAAAACATAAAAAAAAAAAAAAAAAAGAAAGAAAGAAAGAAGGGAGAAAAAAAGAGAAAAAAACCAAAAATCCACCCCATACCCATAACTTGATAAAAAAAACTAGTTTTGGATCTCAAAAGAATTGATTGTCTTTAGAGTCATCCAAATTTGGGTCAAAATAGTGGGGGCACTTATTTATTTATCCACAAAAATAAAAACGCCAAAAAGGGCGAGAGGCGAGAGAAATGTAAAAATGTGGTCTCCCACGATGTTTGCTAACGCGACGCATGCACCAACGTTGGCGGCCATCCACAGCAGACCACGCCCCCACCCTAACCCTACTAGCGCACGTGCGATGCACCTATCGCACGTGCCGAATCATAGTATCCGCTGTCCGCCGCCAAAAGCAGCAGGCAGCAGCGTTTGGGTTAATTAGAGGCCTTAACCATGGTTAGTGTTTCACCCCTGGGTAACCCCCCATTTTATTTTTTCGTAATATTTATTAGTGTATACACATATAAGCTATTAAAAGGAAATTGATTCATGCGGGTTGGAACGCATTTGTACATATGCGGTCTAGAAAATGTAAATCATCCATCTTAAAGATGGATGTTTCCATCTGATAAACAATAAAAACTAACGGTCCAAATGTTTTTTTACTAGAATTATTATTTTTAATTTTTAAAAATTTATTTATTTTTTCATATTTATGATCTCCATATTAGAGGTTATATATCTTTAAAAACTTGTCTTAAAATCCACCTTAAAAATAGATTTACTAAGAGGCCCGTATTTCTACATATGCGGGCTTCGCCGCATAGAAACCTGGGTCGGCCATTAAAACCCACTTCCAACCTCCCCCCCTCTCTCTGCTCTTCCTCACTTCTTCTGCTCTTCCTCTCGCTCTCTCTCTCTCTTTAAATTTTATCTCTTTCTCTCTCTAAATTTAAGAACCAGAGGAAACAATCTACGAAACCCGCAGGAATCCTTTTGTCTCTCTCTATTCTTGCACTGGTTATATTTGTGCTCTCTTTCACTGTACTGTACTATCTCTCTGTAGTTTGGAGCTTCAGTCCTCAAATTTACAGCGCATGAATCGCCAGCCCACTCGCTCTACATTTTATTTTTTACCCTGTTTTGAGGCCCCATTACGCACTTGATATACTGTGTATTCATTTCCTGAGAAAAAAGGTTTCCTCTGGTTTTGTGAATCCATCACTTCTATTTCCTTGAAAACGCAAACACATGCCATTTGTTTCTCTCTCCTCTTTGTGTCCCTCCGCTATTTCTAAGAAACCAATGGGCGATCAAAAACCAGAGTGTCTCACGAAACCCCCCTCTGCAACTCAGGTAAACACCAAACCCAATATCTCTTCGCTCTCATTGCTTTCTTTTTTCGTGGCTTTTTATGAGGTTTTGTGTCTCTGATCACGCTTTCTTTTTGGTTCAGGTAATGGAGGAGCTGAAGGAGCTGGGAAGCATGACCATCCCAATAGCTGCCATGAACTGTGTGGTTTACATTCGAGCCATGGTATCGGTACTCTGTTTAGGCAGGCTTGGTAGCCTTGAACTTGCAGGTGGGGCTCTCTCCATTGGCTTCACAAACATCACAGGCTACTCTGTTCTCTTTGGCCTGGCCTCGGGCATGGAACCCATCTGTAGCCAAGCGTTCGGCTCGAAGAACTGGACCTTAATGGGTCACTCTCTTCAACGAACGATCCTCATCTTGCTCTCAGCTTGTGTACCCATCTGTCTCCTATGGCTCAACCTCAACAGGATCATGGTTTGGTCGGGTCAGGACCTCCAAATCACGGCCATGGCTTCCACCTACTGCATGTTCTCGCTTCCTGATCTTCTAACAAATAGCTTTCTTCAACCTTTGAGAGTTTATCTCCGCTCTCAAGGAATTACTAAACCCATGATGTATTGCTCAGCTCTGGCGGTGCTCCTTCACATTCCTCTCAATATACTCCTCGTTTTCGTTCTCGGATTCGGAGTACCAGGCGTTGCTATATCAGCTGTACTCACGAACCTGAACATGGCGCTATTCCTTCTTTTGTATATGTATATTTCAGGCTCGTGCAAGAAGACATGGAGTGGGTGGTCCAAGGAGGCCCTGACCCAGTGGTGCCCACTGCTAGCCCTGGCGTTACCTAGCTGCCTCGCTATCTGCTTAGAGTGGTGGTGGTACGAGCTCATGACGCTGCTCGCCGGCTATCTCCCCAACCCTAGGGTTTCGGTGGCTACGACCGCCATCTTGATCCAAACCACCAGCCTGATGTACACCGTGCCCATGGCCTTGGGCGCCTGCGTTTCGACGCGGGTGGGAAACGAGCTGGGGGCTGGCAAGCCATGCAGGGCACGCTTGGCCACTCTGGTGGCCCTGGGGTGCGCCTTCGCGGTGGGGCTCTTCAATGTGGCCTGGACCACCGCGCTGAGGCACGAGTGGGCGCAGGTGTTCACGCGCGACGAGGGCGTGGCTGCCATGGCCGCCGCGGTGCTGCCCTTGATGGGTTTGTGCGAGCTCGGCAACTGCCCTCAGACAACGGGGTGCGGCGTGCTGCGCGGTAGCGCCCGTCCTTCCATCGGTGCGCGCATAAACCTGGGCTCATTCTACTTTCTGGGCACGCCCGTGGCCCTCGGACTGGCGTTTTGGCTCAAGGTCGGGTTCGGGGGCTTGTGGTACGGTCTGCTCTCGGCTCAAGTGTCCTGTGCGGTGTCCATACTCTATGTGGTTTTCCGGACCGATTGGGCAATCGAGGCGGCTCGGTCCCGGGTGCTGGCTGGGTTCGGTGGGGGCGACCTAGAGATGGAGGCACGTGCCGTGGCCAAGGCGTGTGATGAGGAGCACGGGTGCGTCGCTCGTGTTGGTGAGTTCGAGGAAGCGGATGCTTTGTTGGCGCGCGGTGTTGTAGAGGAGGCCTAAAAAATTGTCATAGTTAGAGAGAGAGAGAGAGAGGGAGAGAGAAAAATATAGTAATGCAAATGAAGTATACTTTTTCTTGCTGTTTGTCACTTTCTTTTGTTGTACATTTGTGCTTATGGTCCCTTGGCCCATCTTGTACGTTTCAGAAGCAAAAAAGAAAGCGAGAAATGATTGAGAAAGAGAGGGAAGCAAAAATGGACAAAGAAGAAGAAAATAAAGCAGTAATGGAAGTATAAGTCGGGTTGTGTGTGTGTGGTGTGTTACTTTTGTCGCTTTGTGCGTGCGGTGGGGCAATTTGAATGGAATGGGAAAGTTGCTTTTTAGGTTGTTTCGGGGTTTTGCTATTACATGCATACAACATTTTAATAACCATACCACCTGCAGGTGCATGCTACGAGTTATTTTTAAAGGGAGGGGAGAGGGGAGGGGGGGTTATCATTTCAATGAGGGAGAGGAGGGGAGATTCTTGAAGGAGGGGATAACGAGTTTTTTACACGTTTTGGGGGTGGGAAGGGTTCGGTTAACGCCTTGGGGGCCCAGCTTCACGTGCCCATGTCACCGCAAAGACTAACTCAGAACAGGGTTCGAGATTGAAGGGACGGGGCCCTCTTAATCCTACTTCAACATCCCCACCTCTCTCTCTTCCCCTTTGAATAAGAACCCCAATTCCTATCTCTAAACAAACACGGCATTGCTTCCCCACTGCATAAAGTAAATTCTCAAATCTCTTCTTAATTACATTTGGAAACCCCACCAAAATGCAATACATGAGCCAGCGCCCCAGGTTTTTCTTTTTTGACAGATGTTATCCAAATTTTGTTGCTAAAAGAAGGATTACAAGAGATTTGCATCGTGTAAAATTAAAATAGAAGCACGAGTGACCCCTGTTTTTGGGCAAGACCATCAGCAAGAGAATTAGCTTCCTCATAAATATAGTGAAAAGATAAGACTAGACTATCGACCATATCTATGTCCTAACATGGATACGTTTATGTCCTAACATGGATACGTTGCTCTTTTTTACATCATTTGATCACTTTTTACATTATTTGGTCACATTCAATTAGTGTTAGTCCCAATGAAAAATAATAATAAATAAATAAAATTGAAATCGATAAACAATTTATTCGGATCTGTTCTAAATCATACGAGAGCATTAATGTTTCATATCAAATCTTGTAGATCAAGCCGTTCGATAATATGTTACCTTGAGAGTCATTTTGGTGAATATCTTTCATCTATTTTCTATTTTTCTCTTTCTTTCTATTTGAGGGGTTAATATCTTTTTTATAGAGAACCATATTTTGTAACTCTCACATTCATGGTCTATAAGAGTTGAGATCTAAATATAATTTCTATCTTAATTTTTGTAAGTGCGGTCCACTAGGATTTACAAGTTGTTATCAAACTGTTAATTCTATGTAATGAGTTAAACTTGTCAGTGCACAATGCTGCTCATAATAGGATGTTATCCAAGCATTCTTACAACTTGATAAAAGATATTAAATAATTAAATAATCAGTGTAGTCAATTAAGATTAATAAGTTATCAAACTACTATGTAATGAGTTAAACCTGTCAGTAGTGCATTAATGATTTATAATAGGATGTCATCCAAACATCTCTATAACTTGATAAAACAAATTAAAATAATTTTATACATCTATAATATAAAAAAATAATTTTTACAAAGAATCCAAACTGGGTTTTCCCTCCAGTATAACATCTTATAAAAGCTCCAAATGGATCATAATATATGATATTGTTTTATGTTAATTACATGAGATTTTACATATACTATACAATATGACTATACAATATGGCTTTGTACCATTATCGAGAAATAAATTTTCGAGATAAAAAAGTCTGATTGGCAATATTTCCAACATCGAGTTCCCTTCTACCCTACAGGTAATCCCCAAACTTCTGGTTTTAAAAAACTTTAGACCATGAGTTCAGCGAGTCCCCTCTACCATGCAAATAGTCCCCAGATTTTTTTATCCGTAAAAATTTAGACAATGAAGTAGAGCCCTAGGAGCGCCCAAAGGTTTACTTCACTTTGATGTACAGCTAAGCCCATCTGTTGTTTATTATCCCAAAAACTGATCCGTTCAGATCTGCCGGGCCGCCCCAGAAAAGGGCTCTCGTGTCTCTTAACCAAGGGTCATCTCTCTCTCTCTCTAAAAGTGGTGTCCTTTAGTAACAAGAATGTAGCGCGAGAGAGAGAGTAGAGGAACAGATGTTGTCTGCAGGCAAAATCTTGATAGAGTTGGTTCCTTCTTTTGTTTCCATATTGGAAAGCGGCCATTTTATTCGCGTCGCCATCACTCCCCTTCATCAGATAGCATCGATCCCTATAAATTATTCAGTGGGCCCTCTCTTTCGCTTTCACTTTTAGAGAGAGAATATATGGATTCAAAGAGCGACCCGGTTTCTATGCTGTCAAGCCCACAATGTAGAAATGCGGGCCTATTAATAAATCTATTTTTTAGATGAATTTTTGGATTTAATTTTTAAAAACATGTTGGAGATTATGAATGTGAAAAATTAAATAAATTTTAAAAACTAGAAATAACAATTCGAGTAAGAAAACATTTGGACTAGTACTTTCTATTGTCTTTAGATGGAACACCAACTTGAATCTATCTTTAAAATGGATGCTTTACACTTATAGACTTCCCCACATAAAACAATTTTCCTTCTTAAATGTCTTTTTTTTTGGGGAAAAGTTTATGTAGCGCCTAGGCTCTAAACAATCAAATTAGGGCCTACCTCAAAACATTCACCAGAAGAGGTTGTTTTGATGCTCAAATATAATCAAATTGATCATCTTAACATCAAGATGCATGAACATGAGAAAAACATAGATTTAAAGTTTTAGAAATAGTGCATCTTATAACGTATTTTTGGACCGTCAATTTTCAAGCTTTCATAAATCTGTTCGATCTACACTATTTTTGAAGTTTTAAATTTATAAATAAAGATAAAAACATTTAAGGCTATCATAAAACTTTCCAATATTAAAACCATATTTTTTAACACTATTTGAAGGTGGTCTCTAATTTGATTGTTTGGAGCCTCGGCTCTACAAAAACCGCACCCTCTTTTTCTTTTTTTTTTCTTTTTAGCGTTCGGGCCTTCTCGTAAAGAAAAGTAGGGACCGTTGTTTAAGTAAATAAATTGAGAAAGTTGGGGGCTTTACAAAGAGTTCGAGTGTTGCTTCTTTCTTTTTTTTTTCATTGGTTTGTTATCCCTTAGAAGCGGAGAGTGTCGAGGGTTTCTTATTACAATGTACTTGTCTTCCGGCTGCATTTTAGCTTTTTCCTTATCATGAGTGCCCACTTCATCACCTCTATCATCATCATTATCATATCAGACTTCATCACCTCTATCATCATCATCATCTCAGCCTTACTCGAGTGGGTTCGGGATTCATGAAAGTTTGAATAAAGTTGAGACTCTAAACAATCAAAGTAAGGTATACTTCTAAATAATATTTGAAGATGATTTTCAATAGCAAAAATCTGTGTAATAGCACAAATATACTTTTATCCCTAATTATAAAATCTAAAGATATAAAAATAAAAGAAAATTTCATATAGAACTTTAATTCTTCGTATTATTTCATGGTAGACCCTCTTTCCGTTTTTTTTCAAGCGACATATAGAAACCCTTAAAAATTTCATTGCACTCCCTCATCTCTTATTTCCATCTTTTATTGGTCCATAAAAATTAACTTCAACAAATTTTTTTATACTATTTCAACTCAAAACGTTTTTAACCCTCTTTTTCCCTTTAAAAAAAGTTTTTGGGTTGAAATAGTATAAAAATATTTTTGGGATTTATTTTTTTGATCAAAAGTGAACAAAAGAGTGAGATAAGATATGAAAGGGTATGGTGAAATCTTTAGGGGTTTCCTTATGCTGTTTGAAAGAAAAACGGAAGGAGGGTCTACTATGAAATAATATGAAGAATTATGCTTTTATATGAAATTTTCCCTAAAAATAATGTTTATCAAGCATGTACATAAGACAAAAGTTTATATAAGGTTGTAACCTTAAAATGTAGAAATAAAGATGCACCTCAAAATATATCAGAAAATGTTGTTTTAATGTTTAAAAACCCTCTAATTGATCATCTCGGCATCAAAATGTATGAATAGGAAAAAAAAAAAAAAAAGATTTTGAGTTCTATAAATAGTGCATCTTGCAATACATTATCTAGATTATCTATTTTCAAGATTTTCATATGTTTATAGATTTATTTGATTTTAACTATTTTCTTAGTTTAAAATTTTATAATTAGCGATGAAAATAGATTTTACAATAATCCTAAGAATTTTGTACATCAAAATTATATGTTATGATAAAATTTGGAGATACACAATTGGATTGTTTAAGGTTGCAACCTTATAGAAACACACCCTATAAATAAATACTTGAAAATATTAAAAATTGATAGCTCAAATAATGTATTACAAGATGCACTATTTCCCAGACTTGCGATCCTTTTTTTCTTCTCATCTGTACATCTCAAGAGTGTTTTTCAATATCAAAACAACCTCTTATAGTGAATTTTTGAGATGCCCTTTAATTTGACCATTTAGGACCTCAGCCATATATTTGTTTTTTCTATTTTTATATTTAAGTAGAAAAAGGCTAGCCTGAATTGTAGACTAAACAAGTGCAAAATATCCGGAAAAAGGATAATTAGATGAGAAATTATTTAAAATGTACGATAACATATGCATCAAAACAACAATGTTATACTTGTGGATTCCACCCTTCAAATTCAACAAAGGAGGGTTGTAATCAGAAAAATCCTCGGTTCAAATTCTAACTGCCTGGTATTTTTAAAAACTTAAAAATTATATATAAAATCTAAAAAAAATGAATTTTATTTGTAATGTATGTTTAATGTTTTTCATCATTTTGAAAAAGATTAGAAATTGTTTTGGCTATTAATATTTATTTGTATATTTTTCCATCTTTTAAAAAAAATTTTAAAACTACTCTTGAGCATAAATAGATTATTTAAAATCTATTTTTTTCATTGATTTTCAACTTTATTTGGATATGCTTTGTTTAATCATGTTTTAAATATATTTTTTATATTTTATTAGATTTTTTAATATTTTTAATATATTTTTAACTGCCCAAAACTTGTTCAATTATATTGATTGAACCACTTCCGACTCCATGTCCGATCAAGATTTTTCCTATACCGGCTGGAATGCCGAGTGGACCCCCA